CGCTTGAATAACAAAAAGATCATGCTTTGTATCTGGTAACATTGCCGTGGTATTATCTACAAGGAGTATCTGGAAAAAGTAAAACTCTCGACGGTAAGGTGTACAAGGACATATGTTGGTTTGTGTTGACGTCGAACTGAGTTCCGGCGCTTAAAGGCTTCCATCAAGGTAATGCAAGACCACGTGTGCCTGCACTCATTGAACTCTCCTAGTTTTGTCTCGTTTCTCAAGTTCATTGCTCAGGCTTGTCGTCGGAGCTCAATATTCTAAAATCAGATTCAGATACAATAACTGTACTTCCAACTTGTAGCTTCAGTTATGTCTTGCAAAAACTTAAATCCACGAACAGTGTGAGGCGTTATGATTTCCATCACTTATCATAAGCAAGTTAGATGATAATAAGACGTTTTAGGTACAGGTAAATCGTCAGTGATGGATGGGATATTTCATCAGTCATGCAAAAGTTAGTTATGTTACCTCTGGTATTAGTCGCATTTAAATTACGTACTGTCCAAAGATTTTAAAAGATTTAAAAATTTATTTCACTTTTCGGTAGTATACGATTGTACTCTGTACGGTACAAATTCTTTCGAATAAAGGCGGGAAATAACGGTGCTATGAATTACCTATGTTACCGGCAAAGTATGAAACGCTGGCATTCTATAGAATGCCTAGCCATTGTATATAATGCCGGACGATTTTAGGCAGAGTATGAAATAAGAGTATTATTTGCTTTACCTAAGCTTTACCTAGGCATTCTATAGGAAAGGAAGTGTGTGAAATGTTCTAGGAAATGTATGAAATATGAATCGTTTCATACACTGATGGCTAGTTTTAGGCATTATATACAATGTCTAGGCATTCTATAGAATGCCGGATTTCAAACTTTGCCGGTAACGTCTGTTAATTTTTTTTAATCAGAATTGAATTAAAAGATGATTATATGCAGTTTACTTAACGGTATTCTACTTCAGGAAAGTATTTCACGGCTTTCTTAACTTATTACATTGAAATGGTATTATGTAAGTTCTGTGACATGAGAGCGTGCTTGTACGAAATTGCTTTTGTCATTTCTTTTAAAAGTCTTCGCTTGAAAATTTATTTGTCAAAATCTCCTTTTTGAATAAAGCGCTGAATTCTCAATCCTTTGTGGTGTTGAAGGAGGGGAGGGGCACTAAAGTCTTGACATCCATTATATTTCACGTGTGAAATGGCATAGCTCAGCTTGAAAATATATCTTCGGCATAGTCTTAATTTTTTGCTTTTAGGAAATTTTTATTTATTTTATAAAAGCGAAACTTTTCATGCATGAAACGGTAGAATGTATTTGAAAGCATTCAAGCAAGAAAGGACTATCTTTGACTTGCATGTAATGCTGTGTAGTTTAAAAATAAATTTATGATGCCAACTTCCTCCTGTATAATAAAAGAAAATATTTTATTTACATGGTAACCTAATATTAAATACTAACTCTAAATGGCATGCTTTTATTTGCTTGCTTTGAAAGTTTTCTAATCACAGTTTTTCATAGGGATTGGCAAAAACATCAGCAGTTGATTATAAGCTCTGCTGTTTTTCATTTTTCCCTCTAATGTCAGCCCCAAGAGTCATTAATTCTGCCATTATTAATATCTTAACGGAAAAAGCGTGCTAATATCAACTTATTGCTTTTTGAGATCATTACAAGTATAGGTGTATCTTCCATCTTTCTATTTTTATTTGTTTTAAAAAAAATGGCATTTTCCTAGCAAAAAGGTTCTAATTAAGCTTTTTATGTATGGAAAGTATATCAAATTGTGGATATTCAACTTCTCAAATTCAGTTTGACTACGACTTATATCCTATACTGAAGTAGACTTTGCTTTTATAGAACTGGTGCAAAAGCAATAAAAGCATTTTGTTTGTTGCTAATTCTCTTTGTATGAGCATTAGTAGCTGTCGTGATTGAACTGAGGTCATCCATTTTGGTTCGTACGTGTCTACTAAAAGAACATAATTCTATTTATGCTTTATCTCTATGGTTTGAGCTTTTGCTGTTTGATTCGTGTATCTAACTTTTTTGATATTGTCTTTTACGGATTCATAATGCTTGGTAAATCGATTTTATAACCATAAAAGTGCAGTTATTGGTAAACGTACTTTTAATGGTAAATAATCCTCCCACCTCCTTAATTTTGCAGATAAATTGAATCGACATCTTATTCCTGCTTTGAAATACCATTATTATTGCTACACTTTCAAAAAACCTTATCTCCGCAAATGCTGCCATTAAAAATTCGAAATGTGGATTCACGTAAAATTTCTTCTGCACTGGGATAGGACAGTCAGCCTAGGTGCTGAATAATCAGAACCTGATAGTTCAACGGGCATACATCTGATTTAAAGCAAACAAAAACTATATAGCTTAAAACAATTTTTTTTCTTTTCACTTAAGTCCATTGAGCAAATCTGCTTTATATCCATTTTAGTCATTTTGCTTAATACGCCACTTTGTATCCCGTTTTTGAGAGTGATTTATTATCGAGGTTTTCCTGCTTTGTTTTTTTCTTGCCTGTCCTGGAGGAAATGTAGAGAATGAAAGAAAAGTCTGTGCAGTCATGGAATCGACAGATTCCCAGCGGCATTGTCAATATCTGCTGTGTTATTGATTTCATCAAACACTGTTTGCTTTCAATATGTGTTTCTGTCGCAGCTGGGGAATCTTCACTTTTGCAGAAGAGGTTTGGAAATATTTCTGTACATTATAAGATATAAAAGAGTGCCTAAAGTCTTACACTTTGAAGATTTTCGCAGAAATATGTTTTTTTGGGGGGAGCGGCCAGATATTGGGGATCGGTATTTATTTATTTTTGTTTGAATTCTGTGAGCCTGCATTTACAGATTTTCAGGAGTGTTATGCTAGTAGATTTCGGAAACTTCTATATATGAGATTATTATATAGCAATTAATGGATCAGTCGGCATCATCTGAAAAGGACAGATAATTTTTGAGTGAAAATCTTTCGTTAGAATTTAATATGTTGCATAAAACTTCATGTCCAAAAACAAAATAAAAAAACCATGTTTCTCACAATTCTGTTAACGATAAGTGATAATTACAAACTATTAAATATAAATTTCTGTAGTGTAGTTTAGTGTCTTGTGGTATTTCAATTACAGTCTAAGCTATGAAAATTAACAGCTTTTTCAATTTTACTTTCTGTACTAAATACCATATCATATCGAGTCTGTATTTTATCCTAGAATAGATAACGTAAGGATTCGCTGGGGAAAAAGTCTTGATAAAAATAGGGCCTGTTAAAGTGAGACCAAATAAAAGAGAAATTTGTCGAAATTTTTTTTTGGGTTTTGCTTCTTTATAAGCATTAATTAATTTTCTACAAAGTTTTATATAGTAATAAAGAAAGGCAGGTCTTAGGAATGGAATAAATTACAAGGATTTGGTTAAGGGCCTTTAAATTTTTCAATTAATTATCTTTTTATGTGTTCTTATATTTATTATTTGTTATTTAAATTTACCATCTTATCCTTAAAAACAAAAACGGTGAACACAGATGAGTTTCGTATTGTTGCGTGCGTACGGGTTCGTTATGAAATGAATGCACAATTCCGATGAAAAATGAACAAAAATTTATTATTATCACAACAAAAATGCTTAAATTTTCTCAAATTATCATGCAGTATTACAATATCTCACAGTAGTTATCTTTTAACTACTCAAATGTACAATAGAACGTAATTCAAAACAGCTAAAGAAAGTTAATCCGCGAATTCGCTATAATCAACAACAGCAGTTTTTTAAACAACAACAAACTAAGCAACTCCTCCAAACTGAGATGTTTTCCTCCTTTTATAAGATTTTAAAATCATGCGCTAGAATTTTCCAGTACTTTCTCGAAATCAAAAAGAGATATTTATTTATTTAATGCACGCGCTCTTGTATTTTCAATTTTCCGACTTAGCTTTCTTTTAATATTTGTCACGCGCTGCACTGCGCGAGAAATAAAACCATTTAATTTATAATTGAACTAACATTAGCTTTTTAAATACCAAATTCGTAACAGTATTTAGACTTTATAGGGTATTTCTCCCGCCTTCTTAGCATGCCTTCGTAGTGTAGTGGTCAGCACGCTCGACGCATATTCGAGAGGTCCGTGGTTCGAGTCCCGGCGAGGGCATTACTCATTTTTCATCTTTCCTGCTTTCCAAAAATACCTAATAAATCTACAGTGGCATCCGAACTAAAAAAAAAAAGGTGGTGAATGATATCTTTCCACAACCAGGATTTGGCGATTGGGTCCCCTGATCCCCAGTCGCTCTTTAAAGGGGGGAGTATATATGGTATTTTTCCCGCCTTCTTAGCGTGCCTTCGTACTGTACTGGTCAGCACGCTGGGCACATATTCGAGAGGCCCGTGGTTCGAAATTCCGGCGAAGACGTTGCTCATTTCTTCAAGCTCCTGCTTCAGAAATACCTAACATCTCTACAGACTAACAGCTTTCCACTTCTTTCATGAATAAAAATCCTTTATCGGCAGGGGCGTAGCTAGAGGGGGGCATCTGTTCCTGGGCGCAGAATCCAAGGGGCGCCAAACTGATGTTACGACATTTTAGAATTAAATGTTTTCCATCCTTGGCAAGCAGTAGGGGGTGCGAAATCTTCAGTTGTCCCTGGGCGCTGAAAACCCTAGCTACGACTCTGTTTATCGGAGGAATAATAAATTCTGTCAATAACGAGTTGTTCTTTTCAAAGACGCATCATTTCAGAGCCGTTATTCCTTCCATAATCTGAAGTAATCTCTACCTGTGTTCTTTGTTACTTCTATATTCTTTAAAGCTTTATGAAGGCTTATTTAAAGATATTATGTAATTAAATTGCATTTTACTTGCTTCTGTTTTTTTGGGGGGGGGTATTTATTGTTATTTTATAATAATTGCGTCATTTGTTTTTTACTATAATATTATGAATGTCAATTTGAATGTTCTCCTCTCTTCATTTCAGAGTTCACAGTTTTGTTGCTGAAACGAAATCCAAATTCCTGAGTTCTAAAAAGAAACCTACATTAACTGTACATGAGCGTTCACAAGTTCAGTATAACAGTGTCGAAAGCTTAGGTTAGTAATCATTTCTTTTTAATTTTTTTTCCTGTAGCATAAGTAATGTCTTAAATTTTTTACTCTAATTTAGAGGAAGCTTCTGTATTAATGTACGTATATCGAGAAATTTCTGTATGTAAAATATTTATTAATTTTATTTAATAATTTGTTTTTTGTGTAGATGTATAAAGTTGCATGACTAGAAATATAAGTCACTGTTAGGCATATAAGCACATAAGCATTCTAACATTTCTTCTCTTTGAGAGCAGGTTTATGTAGCAGACATACTTCTTCAAGTTTATCAGATACCTCATGTCCTGGTGGCTTAGAAGTTAGATTCTGTAAATCTCTTCGGGATGTACAAGATGAAAGGTAATCTGGAAATGTCAAACTAAAAATTATTTTATTTTAGCATTTCGCATAGATTTTCTGAGACATATTTTCTGAAATGTTAACTCCACATATTATTTTTCAAGAAAATACAGATCTTTAATACTTTCATTCGTCTTAGAACTTGGAAAAGGTATGGCATTCTTTGTGTGTACTTCGTTTTTCGAAATTAGTTTCCAGACAAAACTTAGAAAGATTTCTCTTCTCTTCAGCCCCTAAAAAAAAAAAAAAAAAAAAAAAAAAAAAAAATTTTTTTTTTTTTTTAATTTTGTGTCCTGGAGTCTTAAAATTATATCTTTCATGGTCCTTTTTTTTTATTTACCATATTTAACATTAGTATACTTTAAATACATAGCCTTAGAAAGAGATTAGGTTAGAACATTTTAAAAACTGTTTTTTTTTTTTTTTCCCAAAATAAATGGTAAATTTTACTGCTGAATAGGTATCAATTGCTTAAATAAATATTACAATTAATTTTAGCATATAATTTGCCAAACAGAATTTTTAGGAAGGAATTTATTTATGTCGAACTGGAATGAACTGGTTGAACCCCATCACTGCTTAAGGTGAAGTAATAAAATTTAATATTGTATGAGCTCTATGCACTGGAAATAAGAAATACCTCTGCTGAGCCTTCTATTTAACTGGAAAATATCTTTTAAATGTAAAAGTGTCTTGAAATGTTATATACAGTATAGCTCCAGGTCACAGTAATGTTAACAGTACAGTTTTAACAGATAGGTTATTTGTAATGAATCATATTGCAAGAAAAAATACAAACTCTAGAAAAGTTTTGTTGGCCTTTTAAATGTAAAATGTAGGAGTAGATCAGGGTAATAAATTTCTCATGGCAAAAGCAATTTGTATCATTTCATGTATAATCTTATATTAGTCATAATTAAGTATTTTGTATTTTATTACCATTTTTTATTTGAATAATTTTATTTTATTTATTTATTCTTTTATAACATATTAAATGTTGTTCTTACTTAATCTGTAAACCCTTGTTTGTGAATTAAAATCCGTAGACACAATCATGCATCTGAAATCAATAGGCAAGAAAGAAAGAATCTAGGAGCAGCCCTTGGCAAGTGGCACTGTACCAAACATATAATCTTTAATTTATGTGTGTACCTGATTCTCAAAGCATTATTGTTTGGCAAAGCATGAAAATCCTCAGTTTGTCTTTCAGCTTTATTCGTTCTCTTATTGATTAGTAAAGCGTCTATTTAACTTTAATAATATAAATTAAAATACAGTTAAATTGTAATATATTACTGATCATTTTTATAACATTTGCAGCTTTGTTGTAATTACTGGACGGCATTGCCGTATGCCACACAGCTTGTACGAAATCATAATTTTCCTCCCTCTCTCTACCTGTCCTTTTTAATGGTCTTACATTTTAAAATAGTACTTTTCATTTTTAATGGCAAATTCTTCTGGTCTTTAATTTGAAATTTTCATAGTTTTCTTATGATTTCTTTTTTATTTCATAGTAATTTTTTAAGTTGTTATTTTTTCTAATTAATGATATACTGCTGTCTTTCACATTTTAATAATTAGCTAAAAGTGAAAAAAATTATAGAGCTTTATTTTAGTGTAAAAAAGAATATTTTTTGACAGCGCATTTGGCCGCGAAAATTGGCGTTTTATTACTCAATCCGTAGCATTGCAGATTTCAATGTCACCAAATAAATAACTATCATTAGAAAAGTTATACAGTCCTTTTTTATAAAATACTTTTCATCATTGACTGAAATCCATAAGCAAATTGTGGAGAAATACAGTTACCATTTAATTTAATTATACACTCCTGAAACACTAATTCATAGCAGTTTTAAACCCTTTCATGCTGGCAAAACTAGCTATTAGTAAGCCAATAATAAATTGAGTTGGTAATGTGTATGATAATGTAGCATGTAGAAAAACAAGTGCACTTTACTTGTATCGAGAACTTTATGCATGGTATCCAATTCGCATATCATAAATGCAAAAATCACTACCCAATGTGATGCATCTAATGGAGAACAGATATAACGAGTATTAACTAGTGTGAAATATCTGTTGGACACTGGGTGTTACTGGTGCTTGTTGTGAAAGGGCTGAAGAAAAGCTAGGTAGACGTATTTCTTATTAACAGAAAATTTGCTCCGAAGGGAATTCTGGATCAATAATCAAGTCCTAATATTTTTATTTTCGTCAGTATCAATTTAAGAAAAATATTAGAAAGATCTGTATTTCTACTTCAAAGAAAATAAGTGTAAAAAACGATAATAGTTCACATATTCTCATTTCATGCTACAAATTGTGGTTATTTTTATTTTACTGTATTAAGCATAGATGAGCTAAAAATTGTGGTTATTTTTATTGTACTGTATTAAGCATAGATGAGCTAAAAATTGTGGTTATTTTTATTGTACTGTATTAAGCATAGATGAGCTAAAAATTGTATTAAGAAGTTGTGTGTCTACACAACATTTATTATTTTATGTACAGTAACAAGGCCGGCTCCAAACATAGATGGCCTACTATGGCCAAGTGATAAAGTCATTGAACACATGGGTTTGATTCCAGTGAGTGGGCTGCCTTAATCAGTAAACCTAACCTAATCAAACATAGATGGATAGACAGCTGTTTTAAATTGCCAAGTTTTGGAGAGTGCCAAAACTCTCCCACTCAACAACTAAAATATATATTAAAATATATTTTGCTTTCAATTATTAATATTTTTAACAGGATTTTAACCGTTTTTTAACAGGATTGTCCTTTTATCTTCACATAAAGTTCCTTTCATTGTTTTCTCATGTTTGCGATATGCAAAGCATCACAGTTCAAGGTAATTAATATTTTTTTTTTTTTTTAACATTTATTAGATGCTAAAGGTTTCATTTTTGTAGCAAAGAGTAATTTGCTTTCATAAAACTAACTCAAATTATATGTGAAGAGTTTGATCCCTTTGAAAGTTAAAATTGTTTTATGTAATCGTAAATTAAAATTACTCTGTATAAACGTAAAACTAAATTTCTGAAGAAGTATTTGCTTTATAGGTCTGACTTTAAGCAAGATAATAATCGAAGGCGTCAAGCATCAGGCAATTGCCCATTGTCTGCCATAAACGATGAATCTGATCCATTAAATTTATTAGCAGCATTGGGATACCGTGTACATGAAGGACAAGTATGTATTTCACTTTTAATATCTTAGTCTCTTATAATTTTTTTCAATAAATGATAAAATATAAATGTATGAATGAAAAGTAGGAAATTTTGTTGTTTTTAGAACAAGTAAAAAGATCATTTAATAGTATTTAATGCATAATGGTATTTATTGTTTTAGAAGATACTAGATTCACACTTTGTTCATTTACCCTTGTAAAATGTGGGAAATGATTTACATATTTTTATAGCTTTGTTTAGCTCACCTTTCAATGTTAAAAAAAAAAAAAAAAAAAAAAAAAAAAAAAAAAGAAATTACTGGGGCAAAAAAAGCCAAAAATTGCTTATTGTTTGAAATTTTTTAACTCTCAAATTTCAAGTAACAAAATCATATGGTGAACAATTTAAACACAACTATGATTTTGTGACACTAATCAAGTGAGTGTATCGTAACATATAGATCTTTTTGTTTTTATAAAATATTAATTTTATTAAGAAATGAAATCAAGCATTTGGCATCAGCAGTTTAAAAATCCCATGTTCATTTACAGAAAGATCAGGAATTCAGGAGAGCTTCTCATTGGTGATATTGATAAGATATAGAATTTTATATTGTGGAGAGATATTTAAACTACAAATGGGTCCAAATCTAAAACTTTTGTGTTATTTCATCCAGAACTAGCTAATGTAATATTATAATTATTTTTTAAAAAAATTACCTAATAAACTAAAAGTGAATTCTTGTTTATTAAAGTATATTGCATTTCCATTAATTTCTAAAAATCATTAAACTTAATGTCGCTGAAGATGTAATTTATTAATGAATATTTAAGTTGGCCTGTAGTTTGAATAAATGCAGTTTTTATTATTGGTTACTAATGTATTTATTATATTAAAAAGATGTCTTAACTGTAGTACTACAAACATATGTATTATATTTTGTATTATAATTTATTAGCACAATAGTAACCAACCTTTTATTGTTGCCAGTACACTTAATTTAATGACCATGATCTTTAAAATTAAACAAAAAGAAAGCAGTCATATACTGACATAGATTTTGAATAAAATTCTATTCATTTCATGAAAAAACTGATAAAACTTCTTCAGGGGCAAAAGTTATTTTTTTCCTTTTCTTATATCTATCAAAAGATGATACTTATTTTGTGTCTAAAAAATAGTAGGGAATAAAAGTCTGTTGTATTAGTTGCTTCAAGCACTAAGTATCTCTGTTTTATTAATTTTTTATTGTGAAAGTGGATTTTCAAATTTCTGAACATGAAATGTAACACCAATTAATAACTGACAAAAGTTTCTAGTACTTCTTATACTATATTGTAATATACAAAGTATTACTGAAGTTATTTATTCTATGACTAATTTTAGTGTAACAAGTTAATAACTGGCAGAAATCAGTGATCTTTTTTTCCTCTCTGTACTACAAACATTATTTAAATTACTACAAAAAATAGTACTACAAACATTATTTAAATTTGATATGAAAAAGAATGAACCAGTTTTTAGAAAAATAAAAGCAATTGTCCTTTTTCAATTGTAAATGCAATTTGGAGTTTCTTTCCAGTATGAACTCCTTTTTAATAGTAAATATAGAATATTGTAAATTATTACGCTATTAAATAAAGAACTATATATAATAATTATGTTTATATTTTATTTTCTGCAGGAAATTTCATACAGTGGCCTTCTGTCATCAAATAACGCACAAACAAAATGCAGAATACAGGACACAGATCACCTGACAATTCCATGTCCTCATATGATTCGCTGTCATTCCTTTGATCCGACAACTTCTAATGTTCATTATACAAAGCAACCAACAACTCCACCATATAATTATGATAGAGGTTTGTTTTGTGATTCTTTGCATTCTCAAATATTTTTTGTGTTAGACTTCAGTTCTGTTTTTAATTATTAGAATATAATATTTTCGCATATGCTCAAAAATTTGTTTTAAACTAACCTTTAGCTATTAATTTTATTTATATTCTGTTTCAGAATAATTTTTGGGAAAAAAAATCACACTATTTAATTCAAAAGCTTAGTTATACTTTCAATTCACTGAATATTAAAGCACTATGTGTTATTAATTTGAGAATGATAATCATTTAAATTATTTGCTACTTGTAACTGTTGTGTTTGCTTATACAGTGTTTTGCATGTTGGCATAATGATCTTTTTTAATTTTATATCATTAATAAACAGAGAATTTATAACAAGCTTTTTTCAGAGGCTTATATTTATAATATATGTCTGGATGTTTTAATTAGGCAGAAATCAGCTTTAATTTTATGAATAAATCATATGCATGGATTGTGGGGAATTATACCATTCTAGTATATTACTGTGTCTATCTATCTAGTTTTAAATTATCACCCATAAAATATTAATGTAGACATATTTATTTTATTTTTATTTTTAATATGATAATGCATAACAGATAACTTCTGATGTATTATATTGTTTAACAAGAAATCCTCCCCCTTTTTTTTATTTACCACTTAAAATTATTATTATGAAACATATACATGATTTTATTTTTTTAATTTTTACTGTTACTGAAATTAAGAAACTTCTTTTTCAGCATTTGATTGGTCAGATTCTAAATTTTGTCATCATACATGTCTTTTAACTTATACACCAAATTTATTAGATGATCCAGAGCTTGTTACAGGAAAACATAGTACTGTTCTTACCTTTTCATCATATATAGTAAGTGTAGCTGCATATTTTTATTTATATGCTTTAAAGTTATTTATGTATTTTTAAATTCATAATATTGTATTTTTTTAATCACACAGTCCCCTCTTTATCAAGTATGTGAAATACAACTAAATATTTTCTGCTTCTTTCTTTGATATAAAAGACAAAGTAGGAAGTATGAGTATAAACATGCATTATATGCTTGTAAATATCTTGTGAATAATGTGCATAACAATTTGTTTCATGTATGCATTTAAATTATAAATATATCACTATTATTATCTTGTCTCATCACAGCTTTTTTCCCCCCCCCACAAAAAAAAATTTGTTTGCTTTATTTATAGCTGATGCTTTAGGGTTTCGTAATTTTCTGCTGAACATTATATAAGCATTCTTTCTGTGAATATTTTAAGTATACTTTTTATAGGATAGTATTTAAATCAACATTATCTTATATTTTAATTTTTTATTATTATTATTTTTCTTACCAAGCATTTTGGTGCATAAGCTGAGAAATTTTTATCAAATTTTTTGCTGCTGAAGTCTGGGAATCAACTTACATACGAGTTCAAAATTATTTACAGATCATTTGATCACAAAAAATTGTATTATAGGTTAAATAAATGAAAAAATATTACTTTTATTTTATTTAATCTGAATGCACATTAATCATATTTTTTAACTGTAGTCATATTTTTTAACTGTAGTCTGATAATCATATTTATCAGCATCCAAATTTTTCAACATTGATTCCTTATTTTTCAAATGAATAAAAGCTTGGCTTTCACCTTATCTGACACATCTAGCTAAATTAAGTGACCAGTTGTTTGCACTTGAAGTTCTATAACTGGAATTATGGGCAATTTAAAATTTGGTATATATAAAGGTTTTCAGTTTGGGCTGATGTTCTGCAGCAAAATATCACTTCTAGATGCACACACAGATTGATTTAGATTAAAAAATATATGGTATTTTTATTCCTTTTCTTCTTCAAGGACCAATTCTATGCTTATAACTAATTAGAATAAAGTTGATATCTTTTTATTTACTACTTTATGCCTGTTCATTTTATTTTGCTACTAAATCACTGAATTTCTATTTCTTGCATTTTTATATAAAAAAAATCTGTTGTGGACATCCCATGCTTTCTTTGTATGGCTTATTAAATTATATACATTTTTTGCTGCATTTTATTTAAACTTATTTCCTTGAATTAGTGTAACTTAATTTACTAGTCCTTCAAAGCAAGTTGAAAAATGACATAAAGAATTGTAAATTTTCAAATTAAATATCCCAGTTAATTTTTACCATACAGGAGTCAAACTTCTTACAATTTTTTCTTAAAGTTTGTAAAATTTTCTCAGAAATATAGGAACTGAGAGACTGCATTAAAAGTTAAATTTTACTATTTGTCAAAAATTAATTATTTTTTAAATTTGGCATTGCCAAAACATGATTATTTTCATCATTTAAAATACTTCTGTAATTAGAAGTATATGACTACTACCAACAATTGCGAAAATAAAGGCCGGATAAGGGGGATATATATATATATACAGAGCTTAAATTGCACCGGAGACTGGCTCCGGTACTTCTCAGTTTTTCAGATAAATTATGATTTCAGCCAGAGTGCATCGGAGCCCTAAATAAAAAGGTGAATGAACCCCAATTTTAGCAGATAAATTTTATTTTAATAGTAAACATGCCTTAAACATCAATTCTAACTTCTAAATGCAGGCCTGTTTTTCCCTCGCACTCATGCCTTGTACAGAGTTTGAGACTTTTAAGGAAAGAAAAAAACCCCAGTCATATGTCAAAAGCGTATTCTCCAGGATTGAAATGAATTTCTTGTAGTCAGGAAAAAGTATTCAGGGAAAATTTCTGCCTGACGACTAGAATTATATCAACAGGGCATCGTGATCAGAAAATCTTGAATTTTTCCCTCTTCAAAGCTACACTTCCATATACTTATATTGTTTCAAGAATCCTCACTATTCACCTTAGTGAAGCTTTAATCATTTTATCGGCTGAGCCTGCTTCTTAGCATCTAAGTGGAATTATAATTCCAGCCGATGCCTCAAATAAGACAAGGTCCAATATTTTTTTCTGTTTAGCTATTTAAAATTAATTTAATAATTTATTAGATTTTTCTTTATCTCTTTACATGTTTCTTAATTTAACTTTATTATTTAATTATTTTAATTTTCAGCTATTTTATTTATTTATTTTTTCTTTCCTCCCTCACAGTCTTCCATAGGGCTCCGGCACTTCCAATTTTAGAAATTAAGCCTTGTATATTGTAATATTGTAATATTGCTTTTGCCATCAGTTAGATAATCAAATTTGGCTCTTTCTTTCTTTTTGAAAGCACCGTCTGATTCCAGCGGACATTTGTCAATACGATTTTTTCGCACTGTACCTGTTGCCTGATGACCCATTGAACTGAACTTGTCGAGCAGTGAAATAGTGGTGAGAAAGTTATCAAATACAAAACAATATTTGTCAAGATATCAAGTAAAGATTTGTACCCTTACTTGATGCATATAGATTAGAGTAAATACATTGAGTTCAATGATTTTGTCATCAAGAAGAAGTTCAAGAATCTCTGTAGGAGTTTTCACTATTGTAAAGAAATCATTTATTACTTGTGTAACTCTTCCCTTTCTGGACTGTGGCTGTGTATTTAGATCAGTATTTTCCATTTACGAATCTTTGATATTTTTTTCTCTTTGATGGAGACAGTTGCTGCACAGTAGATGTGGCCATAAATTCATCCTTAGGAGAAAATCATCTTTAGTTGTGAATAAAGAATCATCAATTAGCATTAGAATCCTCTCGAATAAGATAAGCAGGAGCATGAAGGAAAGAAGCTGGCAGATTATTTAGTGTTCTTCCTTCTTCATCTTAGATTTTTAGGTATTTTGAAGTTTTTAAAATGGTTTCAACTAAAAAATGAGAATGAGAAAATGTTAGTCCTAATGATAATGGTTTTGCCTAGTGTTCCAAAAATGGAACACAAAGAATTTCAACCCTGTAACTAACACAGGAGAAAGAGCATGTGAATTTCTATGTTACACCATGATAATATAACATCTTGGGAATTAGCAGAAAAAATATTAGATGCATAGGGTACAATTTACTAAAATTATGTTTACCTGTCTTTAGATGGTACTTCAAAAATTAGCTCAAAAATTCAGACCACTCTTTCAGATCAACTCTGAGCTTGGCATATCGCCAGGAATGACTAATTATGTTTACTGAGGGCTAGCACAAACCCTTATGAGGCAGAACGGAAGTGAGAAATCAAAGTACATTGACAACCTTGTTGCATATAAATAATTCCAAGTCAACTACTGTTCCATTAATGGAACTCTAGGCTTAAGGTATATCAAGTAATGTAATGTGTAATGAGTTCCCATGAGTTGGAAAATTGGATTTTATTTATAATATTGTTGATCTAAACTGGGAAGCAGGCTGAAAGATGAGAAGTAATTGATAAAATCAAGATGTGCCATTTAAGGAGATTTGTATCATTATTATTTGTGTAGCGTAATTTTTTTATACTGTTAATTTTTGTATGCAGTGAAATCTAGAATTTTTAATTAAGAAAGTTCTGATGGATTATTTTATGGATTAATTTTTTCTTTAAGTCTGAAATAAATAAAAATATGTCATTGTATCCAAAAAATTATATTTGACTTTATTATATAATTCATTGTTTCTGTTTATGCATTCGGTATTAATAATTCTCCACTAAATACTGTTGTAAAAATATTTAAAACTCCTTACAGTCATCCATCATTGATTATGTAAAGCCATCAGATCTCAAGAAAGAATTGAATGAAAAGTTTAAAGAACGATTTCCACAAATACATTTAACACTGAGTAAATTAAGAAGGTAACTATTGGCTGGAAAAATTTCTTTTTGTATTTTATAATACTTAATATGTGATATCTTTCTAGAACTGTATCAAAATTTGTGTGAATATGTTTTAAGTAAAATCTAATTTTAGGTAGAAAAATTTTTTTGTTTCTTATCGTATTTTAATGTTGAATTGCTATCAAATTAGGTATGTACCAGGTATCCAAAAAACGTTTGTCTTGTTGTTAGTGAGAAATAATTACCTGTCATTTTGTGCAAATGCATTTTATTCAGCAGAATAATCACCTGCAGCTTGAATTACATGTTTCTGTTGAGTTACAGGCATATGTATTCCATATCTGTAAAAGTTCTTATCGCTAGAGCCAAGAAAACTAGCAGTTCTCTGCGTAACATCATCTCAAATGCGTAGCTATTGTTCACATAAAATGTTATCCATGGCCAAAAATAGATGATAGTCAGATGGAGAAAGACATGAGTAGTAAAAGGGATTACACTTGGGTAGGTGACTTCCCACCCAAGTGTGATCACCTCTTGCTTTCGCCATATGAGGTGTAGTGTTGTCGGGAAAAAGAATCACTGCTTTCCTGATGACTGATGCTGTTTGCTTTTGAGGCATTGCAGTAGCAACCCTTTGCAAATGGAATAAGTATATATCAGCTGTGATGATTTTACCTCTCTCTAGGCATTCAAAGTGCACAATACCAGCACTGGTCCACTAAACACAAAGCAACACCTTTCTGTTGATGAATGTTTTGTTTGACAGTAAATGCTACAGATCAGGAGATGATCAATGATATTTTCTTTTGAAGTTACTGTGCAGTACCCATTTCTTTATCATATGACAATATCTCATCCATGAATGAAGCTTTCTCATGGTGTGAAAGCAATGAATAGAAAATGTTGAGGCCCTGGGTTTTTTTTTTCCTTCGGTCATCACCTGAAGCATCCAATTATTGAGCTTTCATTTCTTCCCAATGTTATGCAGATGCAATCGTATTCTTTCCTCTAATGCTCTAAACCCTTATACAAGCTGTTTGCATGTTTGATGTGGATTACACTCAATATCCTCCTCGAGCAGGGCTTTCCAGCTCATGGCTTTGTCTCGGAGGCTTTCATCTCCCAATACAAATTAGCTGAACTTCTTCCGCACTGTACACTTCACCTTGCTGTCTATTTTGAACTCATAAATCAAACTTGGTTGTAATACATCCTTTGATACTGATTTGTTTATTTCAAGATTGTACTTCTTACAGAAATACTTTCATCACACCCAAAATTCCTCTGAACTCTGCACTGACTGATAGTTAATGGGAATAGCAAGTTCGAGCATCATCTTGGTAATGCTATCGATAATTTCTATTTGAATATCACTTTTTGCTCCAGCAGTATGAACTTTTTTGTATTAGATATTTGGTACATATGATGGTTGTAAACAACCAGTTTAGTTTTACCCTTTTTTTAATCTTATATTCAAAGAATAACTTCTTTAAAACTAAAAATGAATTATTGAATTGTTGGTCACAACTCGTATTAGAATATTGTCAGAACAATAGCTGTGTAATTCTACTTGCAATAACAATGGCCTTTCTGGTTAAATGCTGAAATGATAAATGTCATTAAAGTTTAGTTTTAAATTATAATGTATTCATCATTTTTTTCCGGCTATAAATTTCATTGAATGTAACAATTGTTCTAAAAATGAGTATAAAGTAGTAATGATAATTATAAAATTGAAAAAAAATATTTTTTAAGAAACTGTTACACTGATAAAATGGCTTGAAAAGTTGTCATAAGTCATCCAAGCAACATTGTTGTTGCATTCCCCCTCTCTTTTATATATTTCAAGAACCACAGTTCTTTTTTTTTTTTTTTTTTCATAATTTTTCATTCCAAGATATATCATTTGTAATGCATAACTCTCATTCAGAATTAAAAGAGTGAAACGTTTCTTCAAGATGTCTTATTTTATTACTGTAGCTAGAGATTAACTTGAAGAGGGCTTTAATTTTGTTTATTTTCATATTAATTTCAAAAGTCTAATTAGAGATACAGTGAATCGTGGATTTTCTTGAATCCATATCTTTAAAACATCTCAGGTCTTTTGAATCTTTCATAATACTCTCTTTTGCAAAAAAATCGAAGCACCATGAAGGAAGTGGTTGTTTTTGATAAAACTAAATATGTATATAGCTCATACACAGATAATAAAATGATTAAAAAATTAAGGTCATAGTACTTGTTCACGGCTCACAATCAGCATTGAGTGTTCAAATTAGTAGTTGGTCAAACTGCCCCTGGGGGCAATGCATGCTTGAATTTGTCGAAGCAAGGAGTGGTAGAGGTTCCTAAGTCATCCTGCGACACATTCTGCCAGGCATTCATCAGTTGTCGCTCCAGATCTGAAATATTTTGTGGTGCCCGAATCTGGTAGTCTATTATGCCCCTGACATGTTCGATTGGTGAAAGGTCTGGTGACCTTGCTGGTCAAGGAAGAGTATCAACTGTACAGAGACAGTCCAGAGATATGCGAGCGGTATGGCATTATCTTGTTGGAAAATGGTCCTAGGATGATGTGAAGGGTAATGTAACCGGCCACAGGATGGTATCAACATATTGTTGAGCTGTTAAAGATGTATGGGGGATGATTAAAGATGACCTGCTGTCATAAGAAACAGTGCCCCGAACCATCACAACCAGGGCTTATGGTTGTATGCCTTTTTAAAGCAAAGGCTGATTGGGACCGCTGGCCCCATCCTCTCCAAACACAAAAATGGTCAAACTCATCTGCTTCAAGAGGAAAGCGGGATTTATAGCTGAACACTATACGATGCCAGTCTGATGGCAGTCATGATGATCGGCTGCGACACCATTCCAGATGACTCCGCCGATGTTGTGGGGTGAAAGGCAAACATCTTAAAGGCCTCTTTGAGCATAACCCCGCTTCAGAAAAGTGCCGTGAGATGGTGGACGGTACCACGGGAGATATAGATGTGGCTGTAGTGAGTTGAATAGTTGATAATGATACCATTGAGGCGGTTCAGGCCTGGCAAACAATCATCCTATCTTGCCTCTCATTTGTGCTCCTTGGTCTTTCAGAGTCTTCATTTCATGGACAATTTTCTTGTAGCAACCATTGCTGCCAACATCTTCGCACAGCAGTGTCTGTATGCTGCAGGTGGCGGCTTATCACTCGGTATGACCACCCAGCTTCATGCAACCCTACAGTATGACACGTTCAAAGTCGTTAAGTTGTCTGCAAGGTCTTCGATACCGCTGTAATGACATCTTTAGTTGCTTCTTTACAGAATTACATTGGCAGCAACAAAAAAAGATCAATTTTCTGCCTGTGTTACTGGTTTTATACTTTGTGAATTGCACACTAGAAATGCACGCTATGATCGCAGTTCCTGTTCGCCTTCAAACTTTTATCATTTGCATGTTTGATCAAGATGTTTTTGCATATAAAATTTCATGGCGATTGCAAAAGTCCTTCTTGGTGCTTCGATTTTTTTTTTTTTTTCCAAAAGAGTTAAATAAGAAGGAGAAAATACTTTATAGTAATAAGAAGGGGGAAATATGAAAAGCCTTTGATTAAAGCAAAACTTAAAATTTCCATTTAAAGAAAAACAAGTTTTAAAAATACACTTTTTAAACATGTATCCTGGAATAAAGTACATATGAAGTATATATTAAATTTCTTGGTACTTATTTTCTCATTGTAATTAAATAAATAAAATTTTCAAAATACTGAGTAACAGTTCAGATACATTGCACTTTTGCAGAATGTTTCTAAATCAAAATAAGCATAGATGATTATTAAATTAATAATTCATAAACATTGAATTAACATAGGTAAACTCTAAAAAGAGTTAATGAGTTAATTCTCTTTAGAAAATTGAAAGTGTAGCAGTCAGGGATGCTACAAGATGATACTGAAGGTCCAGATCCTTTGAAATTGTAACAGTCATCCATAAAACTAATATTCTCAAAATTTCAATTTAAAATATTTCATAGCGTTTTTTAGATTAGGATTCAAATGATGAGTAAAGTACAAATCTTCAAGGTTTTCAGTGCCAAAGTCATTTTTAAGATTCATCAGTTTCGGAATTCAAATGTCCCATCTTTAACTGTAAGAATGGTTTTGAGGTCATTTTAGGGCTTTTTAATTTTAGTATTTATTTATTATTACCATTAGAATTCAGAATGATATTGGGGGCGGTTATTCTAAAACTAATGATACTTAAATGTTATCTCAACCATTTTGTAGAAATTCACCGAAATATCAGAATGTGCCAAACTCTGGCAATCGTGCACATAACTATTCTTCAGGCAACCATGCTTATGACAGTCCTTCAGTCAAGCAGTTTTGCCTTTTTCATATGCATTCTATTTGTTGTATTCCATACATTCTATTTTCATAAAGAAATCGTGATATTTTTTGCCTTAAATTTAATTTTAAAATACTCACTTGTGGAATTTGCTCACAATGGCAGGAACTGTGGTAATTTTTTTGCAAAAATACAGAATTTTGGTACAAAATCTCTAAAGGGGACAATGAGAAGATGCATTTGGTAGATAGCCGGTTATGCTAAGGTTTGTACATGCTAAGGTTAAATTAAGTCTTTGAAAGTCTCTTATTTTTCTTTTATGAAAAAACAGATTGCTGGTTACTTGGAGAGAATAGTGCAAAAAAATTACAAAAAGATTTGGAAATGAATGTAAATGCGTTATTTTTTAAATGTATCATGCAGTTCTTATTTAATAATTAAAATTTATATTTTAAATTGCTAAACTGTGTTTTATTGTCATATCTTGATAATGTTTACCAACTTACGATGAATTTCAATTGTTTGGGAATCTTTTTAAAGAAAGTCACAAAAACCACCTTTACCAAGTAATTTTACCTTTTCATCTGTAAAAAAATGCCAAATTGGGCCAAGGTCATTAGTTAGTATGTAAATACCAGACTAACTATAAACAATTTAATTCTGTAGGTGCTTGTGATTGTTAAAATTATTGTATAAATTCTTAATTTTGCTTTTTGTAGAAAAATTGAATGTATTTTATCGTAAAAAAATTGGTACTTTTCCATTATACCCCCACAATCTTACCAAATAGGCTAAAGAAATACCATGTTTCTTGCACGGAGAAGCAAAAAAAATTTTAAATAATAATTCATAAACATTATAGTTTATAAAATATAAATAAAATGTCTGTACTGTTTTTTGAGTAGTTTCTGATGATAGTAATTACAGTTTTGTTTCTTTCCCATTATGACAATTATCATATGGGGGTATTTCACATTAGATAATGTTAGAAGAAATTGCATTGAATCAGTAGTTAACATTTGATTCCATTTAAAGAATAAAGTATTTATGAGAGATGTAAATTTTAAAAAGTGTAATTAGTATGGAAATTTTTAATAAGATTTTGAAAATCTTAATTTGAAATTGTAATGAAATGTAAATATAAATTTTATTCTTTTGTTAGCTTAAAAAGAGAAATGTTGAAAATAACGTATTATGAGGTAAGTGCAGTATAATTTACTTTTATTTGGTCAATTTGATTTGCTTTCATGTACCTAATAATATCTTATAAATATTTTAGTGTGGAATTGATCTTTTGACTGTGGCTCAAGCATATGTATTTTTTGAAAAGCTCATCCTGAAGGTATAAATTTCATTTACTGTATATATTTTTCATTTCTAATATTCGTAAAGGACATAACATGTAAAACAAATTTCTACTAGTGATCAGTTTTAATCTGTATGCAATTTATATTCTATTTATTATAACTGTTTTTGTTCCTTTAAAGCAGTTTTAAGTTAAAGTACTTTATACTGTCAATTTTACTATTGTCTTATATTTTATATTTTGCTTAATTATTTCATAGAGTTCAGAAAATATTTTGATTGGCATAACTTTCAAATGAAACAGTTATTGTTTCAAAAGCAAACTGATATAGGTATTTGCTCTTCAAAAGAAGAGTGGGAGGGATTTGCTCATGCGAGAGAATGATTTTCAGATCCCATCCTTAAGGGCCTAAATTTCTTACATTAGCATGCTTCTTTTCAGTCTAAAAAATAATTGTATCTGTGTATAGGTGATTGATTTTCTAGGGCATTATGGTGATTTAAAGTTTCCTCACATGTGAATTAGGCTTCATCTGTGAACATTATTAATGCAGAAATGTGCTGTCTGTAGCAGTCTGTTGCAAAACCACGTAGCAAAAATACTCCAGAGTGGATAATCCTTGGGCTTTAATAACTGGACACGATGAAGATAATATGCATTCTCCAGAGAGTAAATTGAGATAAGCCCATTTGTTAGGCTATCGCTCAAGTACTTGTACTTGGATTGTCTCTACCAGATGTAAGATTGCCTCCTCATTGTCAGGTATTCTCTGTCGGTTCAGTGTAGCTCTCGTTAAACAACCAGTCTCACATAACCTTCTGCTCACGCTTGCAAAGTTCATGTGATGTGGAGCACGCGTTTCGGGTAACGTTCCCAGTACAACCGCCGAGCGACTTTCACATTACAATCCGCAACTCCGCACACGATCAGCATGTTTATCAGTTCATAGTTTGAATATGCGTTTATCCTACTACCTTGGGAAATAGATCATAAATGACATTTTCCAGCACGATCGCTGTTCATGCAACCTTCCTTTCAGTGCCATCTTTGGCAGAAATTGACCAGAATGTAAGAAATTTCATGCAGCACCTCTTTCAGGCCTGCCTGACGACTTCTGGTCGTAATTTTGAACACCTGTTGTAGTACAACCTTTCAATAAAATTTTTCTTTCCCATTAATGTGTTGCTGTTTCTGTTCTTTTTCGGTGCTTCTTTGCACCATAGCTCACACTGACAGCATTTGTGACCCCAATTCCTGTGTGATTCTGAGTCATCTCTGTACACCCTGCAAGTTTGTCAGCCTGGTAGTGAATCACCCTGTATATATGTGTATGTATTCTGAATTTCCATATAAACATTAATTAAGGATCATGTTTAGTCTCACGTCTAGATTTTAAGAAATGAATATAAAGAATGTATTGATAAATAATAATGATGCTTGGAAAAGTGAGTCACTGCAAAAGGGGCTTCGTTTGAAAATAATGTGGAGAATAGGAATTTAATAAAAGTAATTGTGTTTTAACATTTGCTATCAAGTTTCATAATTATATGCTTTTTCGTGTACTTAATTTTTGAAGATGAAGCTTCAGTTTTTTTATTTGCAGATGCTGATTAATAAACATAACAGAAAACCATGTGCAGCTGCTTGTCTGTTGTTGTCTGCAAAGCTAAATGATGTTAAGGGAAATGACCTGAAAAATTTGATTGAGGTATTATGATAAAAATTAATTTTTTCTACGATCAACTTTTGTGTAATTTCTGCATAAATAAATCTTTAATTTTTGGTATCACTATGCTAAAAGTTGAATCTTTTATCTCATCCAGAAGAACTAAACAGAGATGTAAAAATTTGGGAACACTAAATATAAAAATAGTGCAATGATCAGTGTAATTTATTTATTTACAAAAACAGTAATTTAATTATACATTTAAGAGTTAAGTATTTTTCTAAAATATTTATATACTATGTATAATTATAAGTTGTGATCCAAATCAATAATAATGGTTTGGATACTTATGACCTGCATTTTAGTTTTATCTACTTGGAATTTATAAACAGATTCTCTTTACTGTAAAAATGTGATTTTATACAATTTTCTGGATTGTGTTTGTTGCAACATTATCTTTTAAAATGACTAAATGGCATGAATTATTAAACTGGATTATTGCAGATTTGTTATTTGATGCAGTTTAGGTTATTTTCGTGTTTTATTGTTTGAGTCAATTAGAATGTGTGCTTCTTTTGAACACACAGCGCTTATCTTCAAAACATAAATTCATCTGTATAAGTGACTTGATTCATGATTTATAGCGTATACCTTGGATCACTGTTATATAGATATTGCATTTTCAGTTTATATGCATCTTTATCCGTGATATTCTTCACTTGAGATTTTCATTATTTCAACTACTTATGTAATTAAAAAGATGAATTAATACAGTTAAATTTAAATTATTATTATTAAAGGATGCAGCTGAAACTGCTAAGAGAAATGGATAGGCTAACCATATGTCCTGGTTTACCCCAGACAGCCCTGTTTTTTTTTTTTTTAAAATTCTCCTTTGGCCATGCCATTTCTCAGCCGACCTACGGAAAAGCACTGTCGAATTTGATGGAGGCATGGCTACTGGCCCACCACAACATTTTACTTAGTTATTTGGCAACACAACAGGGGCAATGTGTTTGTTGTTCTCATGTATGAAGTAACTCGTCTACACGGCTTTTATCATTTTATCTCTATTCATTTTTTGTCTCATCATAACAATGGCAAAAGAAAATGTGTATTTAATGTATTAAACAAGAATACAAATTTTTGAAATTATGTAATGATAGTAAAAATGAACGTGTTTATTGCACTATGCAATAACAATGATCTTGAATGTGCTGCTAAAGAAGCTTCGTTTTCATACCACATTGCTACTGCTAGACACAAACTCAGTTTCAAAGCATCAGACTGCACATCTAAACTGGTTAAAAAGTTGTATGACCCAAAATTTTCATCTGCTAGTAAAAAAACAGAAGCAATTATTGTCAAAGTTATTTTGCCATTTATATTTGATAATGTATTGCATTCTTTGGAAATTGTTAATTATGTAACAGTAATGATGGATAGCTCAAACAAAAGTGAAGTAAAACTTGTTACGATTGTCGTAAGATATTTCAACCTACAGGAGGGAATTCAAGTTAAGCTTTTAAATTTCGATGAAGTTTCAGATGAAACTGCTCAAATTTTGACTCAGTATCTTTTGCAGTGCTTGAAAAAAATACAAACTTGAAGAAAAGTTGGTTTGTTATACTGCCGATAACACTAACAGTAATTTTGGTGGTGTGAAGAGAAAGAGGAATGCAAATGTGTTCAGAAAAGTTCAAAATGATTTAGATAAACTTATTTTTAGGAATTGGTTTTTCAGCCCACATTGTACATAATTCAGTACAAACAGCATATGATTCTCTACCCCTGAACATAGAAGTTATTGTTGTAAAAATTAACAAATATTTTCACATATATACAGTAAGAGTAACGAAACTTAGAGTTCTGTGAATTTGTGGAAACAGATTACAAAAAAGTATTATCTCATAGCAGCACAAGGTTTGTTAATTTGTTACCTGCAATAGATAAAATTCTTTCCATTTTTGATTGCCTAAAATCATACTTCCTATTTTGTGACAAATGCCCAAAATTATTATTTGATTTTTTTTTTAAATCTAGAGAGTGAACTTTTTTTGAAATTTTTATATGGTACTCTACACTTATTTAATAATGTAGTTCTGAAACTGGAAGCTAATTCTATCACAACAACAGAAGCATTTAAAACATATTCTGCATTTATCTGTCAACTTCAGAAAAGAAAAACCCACAAATTTATACCATCTTCTGCCAAAGAATTGCTATGCGCTCTTAAAGAAAATAATGATGTCCAGGAACAAAACTCAAGCTTAGAAAATTTTTATAATTCTAGTATTCAATACTTAGAATTGTGGAGAACCAGTTTTGATAAAGTTAGTAAGTTTCAGTGGATAAATTTACGAACTGAAATTGCCTAGTCTGATTTAGAAGAGAGTGCACAGGTTGTTAATGAAATTATAAAAGATTCCATAAATATTGATGACTTATTTGATGAATGTACATTGTTGAACCATATAATTCAAAACGAAAGAGTAGGTTGTGGATTAGATTCTGAAAAAGTATCAGATACTATTGAAGAGAAGTGGAAAGAAATTTTTAAAGTGTTTCCAAAGACATATTTCAAGTTACAATATTTTTTAAATGGATGAGTTTGCAATGTCTTTGCCTGGGACATCTGCTTCAATTGAGAGAACTTTTTTAATTATAAAGAACATTTGGCCTGCAGAAAGGAATAGGCTTTCAAACGTCTGCTAAATGTTAAAATTAATTCAGAACCTTCTTGTTATGAATTTTATGATGTAATTAAAACAAGCAAACCATTTCTGGAAAAAGTCATGTCTAGTGAAAAATACTACTAAATAAATAAAGTTTAATGTTTCAGTAAACTGTTAAGACTTTTAAATAATTCAAAAAATATTTCTGGGTTATATGTTCTTAATTAGTGGTTCCAACACAGGATATATTTTAAATGTGTCCTGGATTGGCCCTTAAAAAATATGGTAAGCCTAGAAAGGGAGATATATACAATTGCATTCTATTGCAAAAATCGCAATGCAGAATGTGTAGAATTTTATTCTATGCATTATGCATACTGGGAACAGTTTTCTGTAAAGCTGATGCATGGATGGGAAATATACTTTAATAAGATTTTTCTCTGTTATCATGTTAAAGAAAAACCCTTCAAAATGTCACATAAAGTGATCATGTATAAATTATTTATGCAAAATTTATTTTATAAAGCGAGTACTTTTATGGAAATCATTTCTTTTGGAGTTTGTGATTTGCATCTCTCTTCTCAAATCTGTGGAGACGGACTAGATTTCGGCAGTAGCTCTGAGAACAAACAAGTCAGTAAAAAATGTGAAGTAGGAACTTGGTGGATACTTCAGAATTTATGTGATGAATTGTTTGATAGATCATTATATATAATGCTGATTACAATGCTTTACCCATTATACATATTTGCTGAACATAACATAATAATGATAATTTGTATATAATATAATATAGTTATGTAGATAATATTGTTTGTATAATGACCCCATTTATTGCTGTATCTGTAATATCACTATCAAAATTATTCAAGATTTCATATTTGATAACAGTACAAGTGAAAAGAAACTTACTTATAACTTTTTTAAGTATGTTTTTTTTTGCAGTATTGTTGATTAATCATATTGTGAGAACAGTTGTTGATTTGGATATACTACTATAATGACATCCTATTTTTTCTATTATGGAAATACTGGAATTTGCTTGTTTTTGTTAAGCAATGTATACAATAAGGTATGAAAAAAGTATAGGAGATGAATTAATTTCTGCATCTGCTATAGTCTATATGTATTTTTTCTTTTCTTTTAGAAAATGGAAAGTGGTTTCAGATTGAATCACAGAGATTTAATATCATGTGAATTTGGAGTATTGGTTGCCTTAGAGTTCTCTTTACACCTTCCAACATGGGAAATATTTCCTCATTATCAACGATTATTGTATGAATCTTAAATCAGATTTCAACTGTAAGATATTGGAGAATTTCATCGGTGTTTTTTAATTTCTGTGATGTAGTCATTTGCAGTATTGAGTCTGCATTGAAAATTTTGTTGAGCATTTTGTAAGATAATGATTAAATTTTTACTTATTTATATACATCCATGTTTGTTGTGTGTAAATGTTCTATATGCATTTCTTAACTGTAAATCACCTAACAAAATTTGCCTTTCCTGTGAAGTTTTAAGAACAGATTTTGCCTTTATTTAATATATTTTAATTGTATGTGATGTATTTAATAATATATTGAGCCAGTTATTGTAGGTATACCTGCATTCTGGATGATATAAATAATGACTGCCTTAATTTGATTTTTTACTGTGTTTGTTTGCATTATTATTTGTGCCATATTAAGTTTTGCAGCTGTTTCTCTGACAGTATATGGTATTTTGAAATCTGCTTAAATTAAGTAGAGCATTTTAGTATATGAAATAGTATGTTAATAATCTATATTAATAATATATATACATAATGATGTAGTGGTAAATTTTTCTGAAGCTTGAAATATAGTAAGATATTTTTAATGTCTTATCTTGAAGCACATTTTAAATTTTCAGTATAGCAATGGTATATAATTAGCTAATTCAGATTTTAAACTAATTGTATTTATTGAATTTTAACCAAGTGCAGAAGAAATTTTAGAATTATTGATGATACCCATACTTTTACAGAGTAGTTAGAATAATAAATTATATCTTAAAATGTATAATAAACATTTCACTCATGTTAATCTATGTATCATATGACTATATAGTATATTTTCATTAGGAAATGTCTTGAACCCTTACATATAAAGAAAAAATTATTTATATGAATCCGTAACTATTATAGTAAATGCTATTTTTATAAAGGATTAAGATACTCTGCTTAAACAGTATGAAATATTTCTTTTTATGATTTAATTACTTAATTTAAATGCTTATAAATATTAAAGAATAAAATTAGGTTGGGAATACGTCATTTCTTAGTTATAACGTGTTAAGGAACTAGAGATCTAAGACTTATTATAACTCTACTATAAAAGATTCCAGTTATTCTCTAATGGTCTTCAGACATTTCTAGTTTTATACTCTATGACACAGTAAATGTGTATTGTGCAGATGATATTTAAGGACTTGTGAATGCTGATGTGTTACTTGCTGTTAATTCGTTTACATAAGGGTTTCCCTTCTTTTCAATTTGTGACTTGTTTTGAAGAGGTAAAACTTTTGACTATTACTTTTATTTGAGTAAGTAGTAAATGTATCAGAATCTAGCATGGATCTATAATAAAAGGCTTATTAAAAATGAAGAAGGGCATTTTAAAAACAAATTTCCCATGTAACAGAAGCTTAATTATTAGAAAAATAGTTAATACTTTTCTCTATATAACCAAACTTAGAAGAAGTATAGATAGAAGAAGTATTAGATATTATTTACATAGATAACTGCATTATTATATATAAAACTTCAAAATAGTTCAATTCATAATAATTTTTTGATTATTAAGTTCTTAGTGGTTCACAGCCCTTGTTTTGAGAATCGTTGCTGTATATGTGCATACTATTTAGAGAGTAGTAAGTTACTGGAATGTGACAAATGAAACAAAATTTTATACTTTGTTATTTATAAACACAGGTTTCCAAAAGGTATATTTTTTATAAAATAGGACATAAATTATTCACAATAAAAATACTCAACATTATTGTTTATTTAAAAAAATCAATATTACTTTCCATGATAGACATCTATCAAGTAAGATGGAAAAGCTACTGCAAAGTGAAAAATAGTTATCAACTTTTCTTGTCCAGTTCCCTTTTTCATCATGCCTTACAGTATTTCCCTCCTCCTAATATTTTTTAATTCAAGTGGTGCATTCTAAATAACGTGGAAAACTGAACTATTTAATTTAGTATAATGATATATATCAGTTTAAGCTTATTATATTTAATAAAATGTACATTATTTATATATGTATTAATGTATAATTGATATTATATTAATATATATAAATTAGAAATGTTTGTATTAGTTTACCAGTCTACCGAATGAACAAAGCTTCAAAATGCTTCATTAAATGGTTAAAACCTTTTCTGATGAACAATCCCTAATTTAAGATACAATACACTGATATTTCTGATAAATCACTGCAAGAGACATAACACTGAAAAAAATTAATCATAAAAAGCACTGTATAGCTAATTAAGATTAGTATGGTTGAATGCGGAAAGTTACTATTGCAGAAACAACCAAAAAAAAATTTTTTTCAGAATATTGTTTTAAATTCCCTTACAAAGTCATCTCTCCTCTTAGAAAAATAGCTGTTGTGTGCTTTGCTATAATTTAATATTTTGTTTTATTTAAAAGCATAGAGAATAACTAGCACTGGGGTGTAATAATTGCTTGTGGGCATTCTAGATGGCATATTTAAAATGCATTTTTCGACAGTCACAGCAGAGGTTTTGACTAAATTGTTTAATACACTGTGTTAAGGTGCGATTTTGAGCAAATTTTTTTCTTCATACTGTTTCTATACTCATTGGATATTCACTAAAACATAGTAAATTTTAAAGCCGAATAACTCAATAATATCAATAGATGACATTAAATGTTTTTTTAGATATTTCATTGATTAAAAGGTAACATGTAGCAATATATAGTTTATTCTTTTTATTAATGTCCAAACCTTTTGTGGGCGAGGGAATGTTTATAGTTAAAACATTATTTTTGCAGTTAGCTCAATTAGAAATATTAGAAATATTAGTATAGTTAATTGTAAAAACAAGTGCAAATATTTCAACCATCCAGTGCCATCTTAAATAGCATAATTCAAAATTTCAAAGCAACAGACTTCATTCTTGATCATTTAAAAAATTGTCTTCATCCTTTAGTTACAAAGACATCAGACCTGCAGTTTTTTTCTCATAAAGTTTTACTAAATGCATGATCTACTTAAGATCTCCTCCAACAATTCTAGACAAAGCCAGTCAAATTTAGCTATCAATTTTGTTATTCTGAGATTAACCTCAAGGTTCTTAAATAATGATTTTAAATTTAATACAGAATTTGATAGTGTATGTATATGGTATAAAATTTAATGGTTGGTTTTTCTCAAAATATCAAATGAAATAATTCTGAATTTTTGTTAAGGGTTTTAGTGATTGAATAATCGCATATATTTTAACCTTTTTGTTTTGCTAATTTAATCTGTAGCTTTCATTTCATTGCTGAATGAGCTGGTTTTTATTTCTCTAAATTGTGAAATTTCTTGTGAATTAAAAAAAAAAAAAAAATGGTAAAAGAAAGGGAGGATAAGTTCTGAGTTTGGTTCCTATTAATAGCCAAGTGGATAAGAAAATGACTGAATGCTTCTAGCAGAATAAGCTACATAGGCAATTTTATGATTTTCCTCGTTGTTACTGTGAAAACATACCTTATTTCTCTTATAAAGTTCTCCATGAAAGCATCTTTTTAATTTGGCAGATAGTCTTTGCACACTGCTGTAACTGATTAAAAAAAAAAAAAAAGTGTATTGAGTTTTTAATGTTTCTCCTCAAGACTTCATAAAACTGAGTATTACACTTTATTCTTAATTAGTGGATACATTAAATGCACATATGTGAAAAAAAAATTTGAGAGCTAGAAAATTAATAGTATTTGAAATGATTATATACATTTTTTTTATTTTCATTATTACTGTTGTTATTATTTTATGCAGTTTACATGAGTTTCTGTTTGGTTTCACACTATTTCCTTGTTGCAAAACTAATATATATTTCCTATAGTTTATAAGAAAAAATTTAATTAGTTTGTTTTGCCCTAAAGAATATTTAAAACGATGCACATCTAAATCATCCTTGAATAGTTGGTCTTGGAACAGTAGTTCCATTTTAAAAAAAGAATCAAATGAAATGCTTTTAAGTTAGGATAATTTTGGTCATATACCGCTTTTTATAAAAATGTGCAAAATTAAGTGTTTAAACATGTCCTTTACAAGGAAAGTTTCAATTATTAAATTGTTGCCCTGTTAAAGCTGTTTTTTAAAAAAAAAAAATCTTATTTCGTAATCTGCAAAATCAGCCCAGAAAAAAGTTTCCAGAATTATGATTTAAACTATATTTACTTAATAAAATAAAAGCACAAAGATTTCATTTTGAAAGCCATTTAAAAATTCAGTATATTATTCTCCAAAATTTTAATTGATGGCCTATCAGATAATTTATAATTATAGTCTCTCGAATTTAGTTTTTTTTAATAAATATATATAAGTTCGATTATGAAAAATAATTTTCTTGCTAATCATTTTTTCAATGAGACTGTCAAAAAAATTCTTTCAGTTTGCTTTAGTTATAATTGAAATTGTTGTTGTCAGAAAACTTGCCTTATTTTCGCCATTTTATAAATTTGATGGTATTTTTGCAACTAGCTACTACAGAGAATTAATTTGATGAAGCTATTTGAAGCTCCTATTATATTTCAATCGAAATAATATATAAAACTGAAAATGTGTTATTATAAATATGTAAATTTAACATTTATTGTTTCATAAGAATAAATTGAATTTAAATAAATTGAATTTAAATACAAATTTAATGAATTCTTTGTGCCATTGCTGCAAGGAATGAAATTTAAATTTAAACGAATTTAAATTTTAACAAACATGTATATACATTAACATTAATTGTATTTAATAAATGTTTATTATTTATATTTAATAAAATACTCAAAATAAGGTTTCTTTTGGTTTTGTTGCACTTGCATGATGCTATTTTTTTTAGTCCATCTGAGTTACCTAATTTTTAGTCAATCTTTACCATGAGCCTTTTGTCTCAGTTAGATGTTTGATAAATATTAGTTATAATGACTTGCTAATTGCTTTTTTTATATATATCTAGGATGTAAAGTATATATGTAGTAAAAGTCTCCATATTTTTCAAATGTTTGTCTTCTGTGCTAAAAATATATATATTTTTGCAAAAAAATAATTTTAAATTAATAGTTAGTTTACTTATCTCAAGATTTTTGTTTTAAAACTGAGTAATTAATATCTATTCTGAGCAATAATTTAAATATATTTTTCTTGTAGCTAACTCATTACTCATTCTGTATTAAATTACTTGAATTGTTTAAAAGATTTGACATATGATTATATATTTATATAGGTATTTTGTAAATATATATAAACCCTTCTTTTTTCATCCAAACTCTAACATTTGACGTACAGTTTTTTTTTTTTTTTTTTTTTTTTATGATACCAATAATATATTGATTGATAAATGGAATTAACAGTTCTCATTTGAGTGATATGCTGCTAAATTTAAAATAGCATATGTAACTCCTCACATGAACATTCCACTGTGACCTGTATAGTATGTTTTTATTCATTCTTGTTACATTATTTATACATTTTTTCTCATGTTAAAATAGCAGCAAAAAAGAGATTGATTTATCAAATAAAAAAATATTTTGTTTCTTTTTCATAGGTTAAATGCATGCAAACTTAATTACTCTAACTGAAATTCTTGTATATACAAAATATGCAGTCTTTGTGTGTAGATGTATGTGTAAAGTGTGCATTAAATGTCCACCGAATTTAAACATTTGTATATTATTTAAATAAGAGAAAACTTATTTAGCAATGTAAAGTGCTGTGTTAATTTATTACAATAGATGCTGTATTGTTTTTAATTTCACTGTTTTTATATCACCTTGGGGTAAATGGAATGTATGTCACTGTGAAATATTATCTTCATACTGAAATATCACAGTTGCTCTATGTTATATATTAGTACTTTCTATGCAAATAAATTATTTTCTTAAAGAAACAAAGAAGCTTTGTTATTCAGTTACTTTTTTAAAAGGGATATTTTAATAGTAATAACAGATTTCTGCAATTTTAGACTGATAGTATGTTCTATATTTTATATAAAATATTCCATCCTATTTTAGAAAACATTTGCATATGTTATTCAGAATTTTAGATCAGTTTGATTTAATAGAACTGACAAGCCTAAAATAAAATTAGTTACATTGTTACATTCTGAGCATGTTAAAGGATTTTCTGCATTTTTTGGAATGGACTGCATACTACATTACATGTAGAGAAAATATGAATGTCCTAAGGAGTTCGGCATTCAGCCTATGATTAAGGGAGATGATATAGTTGACTGATCATCTGAAAGATCTGTTAAAAAAGATGATGATCAAGACAGCTGAGAAAAAGAGCTGGAATTGCTGTGCTGTTGAAAAAGTTTCAAACCAGGGCTAGGAGTGCCAAAATTTTTTGGAAAACTGTTTTAAGCTGTGAATTACAAATTAATTTAATTGATGGAAAGACATATATAAAAATGTTGATAAGTTATATACATCATAATATTAATTATAAAGCATATAAAAGATGAGTAAATTAATTATAATAAGATGTGGTATCAAAGATGAAAGAAAAGAAAAGTTATAATTTAAGCAATATTCTTCATAATCAGATCAGCTATCTCTTTCAACTTAGTTTCTAATCCATTTAACCCTTTTTACCTGGATAAGGAAAATTCATAAAAGCTCTTAATTTTTTGAGTTTATCTTTTGACATAAAGTGTTTTTCTCTGAACTGTTTAAAATCTCCCTTACATTTTTCTCTTTATATTTTTAATAGCTGATAATAGTACTGATTGTGGTCCAGTGCTTGCTAAGCGTTTAACCGACCCTCTTTCCAATAATACTGATTTTAATAACTGCTAGAAAACATGCTGTATGTTTAACAGAATTTTTTGCTGATGTTGCAATTCAAGTACAAAACAAAGTGGACATTCGGAGTTGCAACTGGAATTTAGAGTTTTGAGAAAAACTGAGCGGAATCAGAGCCAGGCATCGAGTGAATTTAAGCACTATTGTAAATGATACCTATACTTGCATTCATTCACTGTCAATAGTTTTCCGTAATTTCGAGTAGATCAGTCGCCCTGGTGTATATGCCATTCATATGATTATTAACTTTAAAAAAAAAGAAAGAAAAGAAAATTCGTTGGATAAGCCGCACTGTAGTATAAGCCACAGTAAAGCATTCCGAAACGTGCACTTAATACTATTAATTTATTCAGTAATTCCTTTCAATATTTATGTAATCATCATTAACTTTTAAAAAAACATAACTATAAACAATGATATATAAATAAATAAACAAACATATTCCCCTGAACTTGCCAAAAACAGATTCTGCTGATTTCTAATGGACCTTTTTTTCACAGGTTCAGTTAAGAGTTTACCATATTATGAAAAAGAACATGTAAATAATGATCTCATTAAGGAAGTTTCCTTTCGGAACTGTTTTTCTAATGGGATTAACTTCTCTCAACCCAAAATGCATGTAAAAGAATTAATTTCTTTCTCAGTTCATAAATAGTTTTTTTACGTATTGAATAAATAGTTCTGCTTGGAGGACAGTCAGAAGTAATGGGCACTTCAATCCATAATAATTATTTGTCTTCTATTTGAATTTTGTTCTTTTTCTCAGATGTGTACTCCAAATAAACTACTTTTTTAAAGCCAGTCCACAAAAGGCTTCTGTCCAGCTGTTGTTTTGATACTGTTCGATAATTTGAACCCAGTTATAGGGTTCTAACCTTGAATTTACAGCTATGTGTTTGGAACATTGAGAACTGGTAAGCGAATAATCGCTTTAGCTCAGGAAACTCAAGAAGAGTTAATTACCCTTTATTGCTCAAAATAAGGATTAACAGATGTCCCTTTTCTCAGGACGTACAGAAAAGCCTCTACCTGGGTGTGAACTCAAAAGTACTAAGAAAAATCAAACTTAACTAATGTTTAGCTAAAAGGATATAACTGAATCTATTAAAATTCTACAGGTGTAGGCCCCTAAATGTTAACTAAACGGCGAAGCTATCAAGGGCGTGAAATACGGCCGAGCATAGTAACAGCTTAGAGAAAGTGTAGCCAAAAGGCAAACTTGCGCTAGTCAGAATCTCTGACTGTCTAACGAAGTCAGTGGAACTTCGTACGTACGACTCTTCCTTCATTTGCATTAACCCGTGATTCTAAAAACACAATCTGGCAGAAATTTGTAAGCTGAAGTTAGAAAGGACAGGAAAGTAGCTTTAACTAAAGATAACTGTTAAAAACTTACAAAGTACTCCAACTGTTGTGAGCTCCATGATTTTATATTTGTCAACGATAGTCAATGGCCGTCGTTTTCCTTTTATTTTAGAGTTTTTCTTTTTTTTCTTTTTTTCTTTTTTTTCAATAGTAAGAAAGATTAGAATAATAATGTTTTGGTTTCCTTAAGTGTGTAAAACGTATAAAATAAAGCTTTGGCTTTCTTGAGCAAGAGAATGTAGTTGTTTATTTTAAATATTTCTTTTCAAGAGTATGGAATGTAGTCAGCTTTAATTTAATGGCAAGAATGACTAAATGAAATAATATTCAGGTAAATTCATCATAACATTAGTGGTGAACCTGGATGTCACCTCATTGGATATTGAAGATAAATGCGGTTAAACTTTTAAGCATGAAATTATTACTAAAACCAATTTTACTAAAACTTCTAATGCCTTGAGGGATTTTTTAAGTCAGGAAAAACCTAATGAGGTAGAAATTCGATCAAATTTTGTTAGTTTAAAAAGGATAAATGCTCAGCTTTCTAGTTTCGATTCTGAAATAAGTGATTTATTAGTTGCAGATGCTGATGCAGAAAAATATGAGCGCAAGTATTTGATTATTGAAGAATACAATGAGAAGACAGATAGTTTTATAGTAAAAGTAGACATTTGTATAAAGAGAATTTTAATTCAATGTAACCAGTCAGTTTGTTCTTCTCCTGTTCAAATTAAAAGGAAACTGAAATTGCCAAAGATTGAACTTGTTAAATTTACCTGTGAAATTAAGGACTGACTTGCCTTTTGGAGCCAGTTCCAAAGAATTTGTGAAGATGAAAATATAGAAAATGAGGATAAGTTTCAATATTTAATACAATGCATGTTGAAGACATGAGAGCTCGTGATATTGTTAACAGTTATTCCCCAGTGGGTGAAAGTTATAATAAACTGGTAGAATACCTAAAATCTCGTTTTGGTTGAGATGAATTATTTATTGAATTCTAGCTGCAGGAACTTTTAAAGTTAGTCATAAAAAATGTGACAGGTAATAACCAAAAATTAGACACTGGTAGACTGTGCAATAAACTGGAATCCATTGGTTTGACTTCGGATAAATATTCTGCCATGCTTTTCCCTGTCATTGAATCTTGCATATCGGAAGACATTTCTAGTGTGTGGTTGCAAAATGCGATAATTAGTACACTAGATACGTCAGTGGAGAATCCATACTGTGTAAAGCTAAAAAACTTGTTACTGTTTATGAAAACGGAAAGAGAGGAGCTAGTTCTCTTAGCGAAATCTGGATTTTCAAATAAATATGAGAAAAGAGAGAAAGAAAAGATCAAAATCGTAAAAACAACCTTGTATTTAGCGTAGGTATAATGAAACACTCAATCGATTTCGAGGGCAGCTAAAGGTCCCTCCTCATCAGGAGAAAGAAATACCTAGAAAGAAGAAAATAAAGGAGAAGGAATCTCAGAAACACGGGGTCCTTATCAGCAC